GCAAAATGCAAATTCTTGCACTTTTTTGACTGGTCTTAAGATTTTGATCAGGAGTGTATATTTGAATTAGAGAACCAAGTCTTCTGGAATTGTTAAATTTATAAGGAAAAAAAGGAATTTAGACTGGTTAGTGATGGGTAAAAATTTGTTCTCCTAATTAATGTGAGTCTAATGGGTTCAGTATTTTCTTACACAACTGTTACTCTGCTGAGGTTTGATGAGTTCAGTTGTCTCCAGAAGCTGCAGCTGTGTGTCCAGTCTCTTCTGCACAGCATGTGAGCTATGTGACTGCTCACCCAGTGAATGGAAACACTCAGAGCAGAGCTTCCTCTGAGAGAGAGGGAGGGAGAGAGACCACGTTGATCCAAGTTTGGAATCCTGGCACCGACTTCCTGTTGAATAATCAACCCTGCTCACAAACTGTGTGTCTCTTAATGCTCTTGGCTCACATGAGAGCTTAAAGGGCATCTTGGGTTTACAGGGACAGCTCAGATTATGGTGCCCAGAGATCAAACTACACACCATGAAATGGCTTTCAGTCACCTTGGTGCCCACTGCTGGAATGAGCTCTCTGCTGCACAAATAACTTCACTAATGTTTGTGTTTATTTAATTCCTGATTTCTAATTTCACTTCGTGTTTTAAAGAACTTGCATGTCTCTGAAGCGCCGTCTCTCTTTTTCCTATTACATGTTTTTGTGTTTAAAATCTGTTCCTTCGGGGTTTAACAAGGCATGTGTTTATCCCAACACTGCAAACTGGGAGCAGCTGCATTAGTTCAGAAATTGTGCTAAAAATGTAACACATTTAACACAGGACATTTAAATGCAAGGGGAATAACTGAATAGTTTCCAAAACTTTCAGAAAATAGGAAAAGAAATCATCTTCATGGTTTTGTGGAAAGCCTATAAACAGCTAATATCTTACCTGTTTTAGATGACTCTTGGAATGATCTCATTTTGGAGAAAAATGGTTTCATTGATGGTTTCAAAGACTGATGAGTGGATGGCATGTCTGAGCAGGACCAGGAACAAAACCAATTATTACCAGTGGTGGGCAGCACTAATCTAAAAATGTGTTCCACTAGCACCAGGGGTCTGCAACCTTCCTTTATGATCAAAAGATTCATTTGTGCTCCTCGTCTTACTAATAAAATGTGTTCGGAGCTGCAAAACAAGCTCCAACTGTGATTATCAACTGCTGGTCTGTGGGCCTTTTTCGAGGTCTTTTCGGGAACATTTACAGTCAGTGGAGGTGACACTATAAAAC